AAAAACTGACAATTTTTAATAAGAATAAAAACTGTTATATATAAATAGAAATGATCATTTTTGAACAACTCGCTTTGAAATTTTGATAAAATGAGGACAGTTTCGAAAAGTGTCAAATGTCACATACGATAATCCATCTAAGTGGAAGGAAATTATGAAAGACATTTTTTCCTAATATTTATTCATTATTCAGTAATTCAATCCGAATAACAATTTCTGAATACTCGATATGGTACATTATTCAGGTAAACTGTATGAAATAAGCCATAATTGGCGATATTGGAAGGAAAAAAAATCAAATATTTCTCGCAAAAGTAAGTTGACATGTAATTTAGCTAATATTTTTGTAAATAATTAATTTCACAATTTTTAGGATTAAATTATATCTTCCACGACATTTGATCTTTATCATGCGGGGATTATTCTCTCCTGAAACTTCTTTCCATCTTTCTTCTTAAAATGATGAATTCGTTCTTTTAGGATATAATTTATTGTTTATTTAGGTCAATGCACTTTTGCTTTGAAGGATTTGAAAAATTTTGTAATTTTTTTGCATTTGTTTTTTTTTGTCATAAAATGTCAAGAAATCAAATGCAGTATTTTTTAAAATATAACTTTTGTGGAGTATATGAAAGATGTAAAAATGAAATCCTTTTAGTTTCGTTTGCCATATCCATTAAGCTGAAGTTTCTCGAGGGAAATAAATTTTCTGATTGCTTGAGAATGACAAAATATGAGGTTGATAGACAGTTGAAAGATAAGTAAACGGTTGTCGAGAAGTGTCGTGAAACAATGAATTGATAAGGAAAATATTTAAAAGAAGAAATAAACTTCTATAATAGTTATTTTGATGGAGATTCAAAAGACGGATCAGTAGCATTTTTGATAATCAAAAATATCTGATCATAATCGTGTGCAAATGACTAAATTTAATTAGCCATTTACAACGTTCCAATTATGATCAAACGCTAATTTTAATTTCAGTATAGTAGTTTTATCGGTTTCTATCCAAACAATTCTTGCATGGAAATGATAACTTCAAAATTCTGGATTCGTCCTTATCGAAGAGATTTATATTTACAGGATTACTTTTGGAATTGTGTGAGAAAATATGATTGAATGTTTGGTTTACTGTGCAAGGAAAAAAACTTTAATCATTATGAAAGCTCATTTCAAAGTTATACACGCCGGAAAAAGTATTATTAAAAAGAAAGAAAAAGTGGAAAAGAATTATTAATGTTCTTTGAAGATAATTAATTCCTGGATTGTGGTGTAAAATGAAAAGATGTTACATCCTGCGATATAGGATGAAATCTTTCGAATTTCACATTGTTGTGCCACTTTGTTGCATCATCGAAGAATGACAGCAATTAAATTGGTGGCAAAAATATCCCACCCGTACTGTTCTTTCATTGTATTATTTCTCACAGTATTATACAAAAATAAAATTAATGAAATTTGCAAAGAAAAAAAATGCCGATTTGATTATTGAATTTGAAATGTTTTTCATGCTTGGATAGAAGGAAAAATAAAAGAAAAATTAAAAAAATAAAAAAAAATGGTTGAAGAGTGCATGCGAATATATTTTTAATAGAAACTGATGGTTGATTTAATAATAATGATTACTAAAAAGATTTTTGATTATTTCATATTCAAGTATCTCAATTCAAACTTATAAGAACACTTTAACATGCAATACATTGTTACAGGTATATTGGAAAATATTTTTATAGTTGAACCAAAAAAAGCTAAAAAAACATAAATGATTAAACTTGAAGAATTCATAAGAAAACTTTATTAAGTTTAATCATTCAAAAAAAAATTTATTCTATTCTATTCAGAATTAATTCATAAGTGATTAGACATAAAGAATTCATAAAAAAACTTCATTAAGTTTAATCAAAAAACCCTTTTCCAACAGAAAACCATTTAAATAGTTTATAATACTTTATTCTTTAATTTCATATCTTAATAGAATTAGGCAAATCATTTTGACAAATTTTTCTTTTTTTTCTTACATGAACTACTAAAGTTCACTCTAAATGATGACTAATATTTATTTTATAATAAATCTGAAATAATTTATCTGAAATTCGATCTGAAATAATTTACTAATAAAATCCAATAAAATATCTCACTGTATTGTTTTCTGAATATAATTTTGAGACTTCTAGCGGATTGCGCGAATCCTCTCTTAGTTTTAAATAGAAAAAAAAAATCATTCCAGAAAATGATATGAACATTGGAAGGAAACAATAAATGAAACCAATTGACATTTCATAAATGAATTTTGAGCATGCAAGCAAAATTTTGAAGAAAAGAGAAAATTCCATTGGGATCATGCTATTGCAAATATTAAAATGAAATTCGTTACAAAAATTTATTTTAGTTGAGAAATACAAAAATTAATGGATATACAGGTGTTACATTTAAAATAAAAATAGAAAAACAAAAACAATTGAAATAATATTCCCGGAAAATATTATGGCTAATTAGAAATGATAGAAAGATAATAGAATGAGCTATTCCGAAATGTTATTTCGAATATATTTGATTTCTAATGTCTATTTCACATCCACTTTATTTTAAAAGCATTGCTTAAACAATTAATATATAGAAAAATTAAAATATTTTCCTACTATCTACAGTAATACATACTACAGACAGTCTTCACTACTCCATAACTTCCATATATTTCAAATATTAAAAATCAAAATTTGCAAATGTTATTAATTTCAACTATTCAATTTTATAATTTTTTAAAATAATTACAAAAAGAATGAAAATACATGATTTGTTGCAGTGTAAATGGACCAACACAAGTCTTCCCGGTAAGAAAGAAGGAAAGGGATTTTAAAGTTAATAGATTTCTGATTTTCATCAAAAAGAAACTGAAAAATGATAGTGATTTATTTACTATCAATGAAAATATTTGGAAGATTTTTGATGTTCCAAATGATAAATGCATTTGTTTTGAATTTTATTATTTGTAAAAATATAAATGATATAAATCAAATTAGACTGTAATAAAGGAAGCGTCAGCTGTAGCACTGAAATTTCCAAATTTGTTGTAATGGAACCATTTCGAAATTGTAGCTTAGAACTGAAAAATCATTTATGATTCTTGCTGGAGGAATTTCACCAAGCAATAATCGCTCAATAGATTTACTGAAAGTAAGTGCAACTTGCTTAGAAATAAGACCGATAACCTAATGACCCATAGCTATTATCTTTTTATTCATTGTCAAGTTCGCCATTTGTTGTCAAATATTCTTTTCTTCCAATATTATTGAGCTATGCCTCAATATTAGTTCTGTTTTTATTCCTAATAAGTTTACTCTTCAACTACTTGTTACTCAAATAATCTTGCAAATATCCTTCCTTCATACTGGCAGCAATAATGAACTCTCAGTTGATATTTTCTATTGAACTTAATCAAGGAATTTTTTCTCTTTCAAATTTTTATAAAAAATTAAAGAAACAAAACGAAATATGTTTTTCAGTTTATCAAAGCTTGTTTCATGATAGGTGCTAGAAACTTCTACAAGCTTTCTACGGAGCTCAATTATAAAATTTTTATACTATTATTTACGAAGATTCCAGATAGAATAAAATATAATGCGTCAAAATTTCATCTTTAAAATATCATTTTAGCATCATCAATGTATCCGGGATGATTTATTGATTGAATAATTGAAATGATGACCTCCAATAAATACATTCTATGCAATCGAAAAGAGCATCAAATTTCATTTACCTTTCAATTATTACTAAATGATCTTTTTTTCAATTTCTATTTAGAAATTAGAAGTTGTAAAGCAATAATGCTAAAGAGGTTCGAATGAATGAGACAAATGGAGAAGCTTATCAGTTTTGTCGATATCTGATGTAAAAAATGAACTTCCCGAATGAGAAGATTAATGTGAATTATTGTTCATAGCTTCTGACTTCCACATCCCCTTTCCGTTATTTTTTCCTGATTTCATCTTTCTCTCCAGACATATCCCTCTCGTTACAGTTATTACTTTTCTCATTCATATACAATTAAAAATCACTAATTCCATCCATTTCCAATATATTACCTTTCTCGACATGTGTGTGTGTGTCTGTTAGTGCATGAATAGCGGTGTATTCTGACGGGAGGTCAGTTCAGGCGTAATAAACTTTTTGACATGCGGACGTGTAAACTGAGTGAGGTGAAAGGTGAACTGCATGAAGAACGAAGATGTTGTTGAATGTTTACTTTCTGATTTTTCTAATGTCTTATTCGAATAAATTAGTTGGATAAAGTGAAGAAGATACGAGAGTGCAAGTAGGCAAACATCAAATGTAGAAGCGGTGCACGTAATCCAATTCCAGAAGGTTAGGTAGACGTGATCGAGTTGTTATGCTGCATTATTTGAGCATTGTCTCGACACGTTGCAGTACTGTGTTAGTGTTGCGTTAAAGTTAATGAGGGTCAGTAGTGGGGATTTCTGCCAGCCGGCGATTGTTGCCAGAGGTGGTCTGTGTGGTATGTTGTTTTCCGTTGGTTCATTAGCCTCTTCGGTTTTAACGTTTACTTTGTTCTAATTCACATCGTATCGATTACTCTAGAGTCTTTGACTTTACTCAGTCTTTAGGTCAATTAAAGATCAGTGTTACTCTTGATAAATGAATACTATAAATGATTCAGGTGAAACTAAAGTTTTTTGATCTCTTCTAGGATTAAATATTTTCTTAGAAGTTGTTTTTTTTTGATTTTAGGAATACATTTGATCATTTGAAAACCTTACTTATTGTTTGTCTTATTAAAAGATCACTATTTGTGGAATTTAACTCTTCTCTTATTGTTTCCTCTCTTAAACCTGAAATGCAGTTTCTTTCAGTTAGCAAATATTATATGACATATTGCTTTTGGTGCATTTGCATCATTACATCATTTCTTTACGAGAAAATATGTAAGCTTAAGAGTCATGCGGAATAATCTGAATGAAATCAAATCTTTTGAGGTTAAAAACATGGCTACAACAATGGGTGGAAGCGGTGATACAGTTCAGAATGGGAATTTAGACAGAGAAAAGGAAAATGTCCCGAAGAATATCGAGAAGGAAACTGCTGGCAACATACAAGGAAAATTAGTAAATGGCGTTGCATCAAAGAAATCCACTGATGAAGCAGTTGACATCGCTGATGAGAAAGTGGCGACAAAAAATGTATCTCATTTGTTTAAAAAGTATATACGATCTCGGATATTTCATCATAATCCGAGATCCTATGTATTTTTTGGATTTCAGGCCACTCATTTGATTTCATTTTTATACTGCTGCAAACCCCAGTTTTAGAGTATTCACTCACGATTCATGTATATAAATATTAGTTTTAAATTAAATATGGTGTTAGGACTTTTCATTATCCACAGAAATATCTTGTAGAAAGAACATAATCGACGAAATACATCAAATAAAGCAGAATCTTGTGGTAAGAACTTGAACAAGGAGAGTAAACCTCGTTCAAAATCAACAAATTTAGCGAAAGAAGCGGGTGGTGGATATCAAACAATGCAGGCAAAACGACGTTATAACTGTTAGCAACTTATATTGTTTTCTTTGTATGAGATTTAGAATTTCCCAATTGTTGCTAAGCTTTATATATGAAAATTTCAATAAAGAGTAGGAAAAATCAAAAAAAATAACAACGAGGCAGAGAGAGACATGGGAATATTTGAAATGGTAGAAGAGATCCACTGATGTTAATCGATTTCTTGTAAGTCATTTGAGCAAGCATCAGATGATGACAAGAAATTCCGAATCTTGAGGACTACAAAACAAGGCACCAAATTCAATTGTTAGTATGAAATCTATGAAAAATTGTAATTAAATTCAGATTAACTCTATCATGAAAAAAAGGGGAGAAGTAAAAACGAAGTAATACAACCGAGAAAAATGAATGATTATCCTCAGTTTAGAGTAGAATAAGGCGCTAACACTTGTAGAAATTACATCAGTTTTCTTTTCCTTCTGTGCGCCTAATTTTTTAAAATATATTTTTTTCTATTTTTTATCTTTTTTCTATTTTAACTTCCCAGTTATTGTTTCTATCGGTGGATTTATATCAGGTATCCCAGAACTACGGAGTGAGAAATGAATAGTGTGTTTTTAATTTAAAATGTTTAAGCTGTCGACAAAACTCGGAATATGCAGCAGTCAACAAATTCGATAACATTAGAAGGATTTCTTTATAATGGTGAAAGTATGTCACTGCTTTAAAGTGCGAAATTTATTACAAAAATATTATTGTAAGAATTAAAGTGCCAAATTTATTACAAATATTATTGTAAATTATAATAATCAGGATTAAATTGTTCTGCATATTTAGTCGATCTGGAAGAACCGTTTAGCGATTCTGATGAAAACGACACTTTAAAGGGACCAAAAAAACTTACACTTACCATTCCACGGGGACGCATACGTACTCTTTCGGGTACTGTTCCTGCAGTGGGATATAGGTAGGCATATTTTTATTGATGCTTCACATTTCAAGAATCTCTTTATATTACACTTGTTTCTTCAAATCTTTGATGTTTTATATTAATATGATTATGGTTGAGTAGTATCGAAACGTGGTGTGTTAGGAGCCATAAAATCGTCAAACGTATTAGGAGGATGAGGCTTCAGGAGTAATAAAATAAGCATGTAACAGAGGAATTATGATGGTTCATTTTTCATGTGGAACTTAATTTAGTACAAAATACTTTTACAGTCCAAAATGGGGTGGTCCAACAATGTGTTTGAGCTGTCTGCAATTTTTCGACCTACCGGAACATCTCACGCAATTTTCGGAGTTAGTTTTCAAGTTTTTTTTCTTCATGTTGATTTTTCATGAAAGGGAATTTCATTTCATGCATGGTGCTAGCAAAAAATTTTGCAGTCATTTACTGGATGATCATCATATTGTTATTGTCGAAATCGATTTGATTGTTGATCCGAAGAGGTTGGTGCCGAATTGTTCATCACTTATTTTGAAATCTGAACAGACTTTCCCAGTCTTTTAGTTCGAAATTTTTCTTTTGATTGCTTTTTGTTGCGATTGATCAGTTTTACTGCTCATCAAACTTAGTTTAATTTATTCCAATGTACTGACCTGCAATTGTTCCAATTTTTTTGAGATATGTGGAGTACTGGAGGCAACGTTTCGCAAAGGAAAGTATTGACACCATTTTTCCGAAGAAAATCCCTGCTGAAAATGACGAGTTCTATGGAAAAACAGATTATTTCTATGAAATGGGCGAGCATCTACCGGAGGATTATGCCTTACGTCAAAAACTTGCCATGAGACGCCTGGAAGAGGTACATTAGTTAAACGTATATATTTAGAAAAAGTGTAGAACACTTGCTTCATTGTGGAGCAAAATACAAGATCATTTGCACTAAGCACCTAACGGAGAGCACTATCTAGCTGGGTAGCTTTCAGGGTGAAAAAAATAAAACTTTTTGAGTCTCTTTGTTCAAAATTTTGGAATTGTAGGCGTTAGCATGTCAGCAACGCGAACGGGAAGATACAAATTTCATACAGCAATGCATTTTTTGTCGGTATACGGCACGTGGTAATCGGTCGAAAATTATCCACCATCTCTACATGATCCATCATTTGAATCTTGGTTCACCCGACAACTTAGGTACTTTCGTTTTTTTGAAATATGTAGCGAGTTGTTTCTGAGGATTATAAATTCATACTTCCTTTTTTCAACAATGATCTGATTTAAATTTCTAATCTCTTTATAATTAATATTACGTATTATTGCAGTTTTTGTTACCGAGTATATCGAATGTCTGAAATCAAAGCTTCTCAGGTTTCATTCTGTATCATTCATATTCGTAGACATTTGATAAAATTTTTTTTTGACGCAAAATAATACTGTGGAATTATTGATTTTTTTTGCTTCGTTACTAATTTTTTCATTGCATGCATATTGCTTTTTATCTAGTTCAATTTTGTTTGCAGCAATGAATGTATTTATTGCGAAAAAAGGTTCAGTGATCGTAATACTTTAATGGATCATATGCGCAAACGAAATCATAAGGAAGTGAATCCAAAAAATAATTATTATGACAAATTCTATATTATTAACTACTTGGTAGGTGTTGTATTTTTTCCACGTCGGATGTTTTACGAACCTCACAAAAATTTTTTAACCGCTTATCACTGCAGCTCTTCCAAGCTTTTCATTGTTTAATATTAATTTTTGTGTCGGAACTATTGGGTTTATAGTGCTGGAGGTTTTGTGCTTCTTAAGATTTATTGCCCAAGAATCCTTTTTTTCAGGAACTGGGAAAGCGTTGGTTAGATGTATTGAAAGAAGACTTTGAAGATACAATGCTGACGTTTATAGATTCTGATGAAGAAGAGGAAGAGTAAGTCATTTTTCTTTCACTGTTTAGTATTTTTTTCTAATATGTTCCTGATGTTTGTATCTTCTAAAATGCAAAACAATGCGATTTGTGGTTTAAATTAAATTTCAGTTTTTCAAATTCGATCTTTCTCCTTTTTTTTGAATTAGCAGTTCCGTTTGGGTATTTCTTGATGTCTAATGTCTCGAAGATATCACTAAACCTTATTGATTTTTTCTTCTTGTCATCAAGATGGAAAATAAGTAATTGTCGATATCTCAGATTGGTTACTCGATATTTTTTAAATATGTTTTTGAATAAAGAACAAGTAACTAATATTATTGTAAATAGGGAATCCTGGCAGGAATGGCAAGAAGATAATATCGATGTGGAACAGACGCGTGTGGTTTGTTTGTTTTGTGAAGAAACTGAAGATCACGCTGCTCCATTACTTGAACATATCAAAGTAAGTTTAATTCTTTTTTATGACTTTGTCATTAGTGAATGGTTTTAAAATCAATAAAATTTGGTGTTGTAAAGTTTCCTGAAAAATTTTGGAATAGAGAGTGTCAAAACTGTTGCATAT